TCAGTGGTTGAGTTCCCTGATACCAAAAAAAAAAAAAAAAAAAAAAAAAAATCAAGCCATTAAACTATGGCCTGAAAGCCAGCTATCTGTTTTGGTTAAGATTTTATTAGAACCAGGACTGGATTAGGGAGGAAAGTGTAAATTCAAGGCTAGATTTTTTTTTTTAAGTACTGGATATTTAACTCAGATTAAACAAAGCTACAATCTCAGAGTCCTTTTGATTTTTAAATTTTGAGACACAGTCTTACTACTTTGCCAAGGCTGGCCTCAAATTTGCAATCCTTCTGCCTCAGCCTCCTGAGTTACTAGGATTACAGGCCTGCACCACCATGGTTATCTTCATGTATTACTGTTTTGTTCATTTCAAATTTTGCATAAATTTTGTTTTTTTAAAATGTTTACCACAATATTGTTTTCTGTGATTACTGAGTTTTTTGATGCTTCCTTATATTTTATGTCCAAAGTAAATGCATCACTTGCCTCACCCTACTTGTTGTCTTGCCCTGGTCCAAGTCATACCTTATCTCCAAGCTGTACTTCTGCAGTAGTTTCCTAACTAGTTTGTCCACTTCTAACTCTGCTAACCATCTCAGATCCATTGTCCACGTGGCAGCCACAGTGATCTTTGGAAAGAAAAGGTAAAGTCATGTCACTCTTTTGCTTTACTGTTCAATTGTCTCTCATTCTACTTGGAATAAAATCCAGGTTTCCCATAAAGTCCTGCATAATATGAATCTCATCTTTTTCCTTAATCCCATTCCTACCACTCTGCCTTGCACTAACTTTATTGGTTAACTTTCCATTCCTGGAACATGGTAAACATATTCCCACATTAGGGTCTTGGTACAGGTCATTCTTTATTTTTTAATTTTTAAGTTATCAGCAGACACAATATCTTTGTTTGTATGTGGTGCTGAGGATCGAACCCAGGCCGCAGGCATGCCAGGCGAGCGTGCTACCGCTTGAGCCATATCCCCAGCCTCAGGTCATTCTTTAAATGTTTAATCTCTTCTAATCCTTTCAATCTGAGATTCAGTTATCTCTCTGAGAGGCTTTCCAATATAAAGTAGTCTCCTCCTGATATTTCTTTTCCCTTTTAATATTTTGACAACATATAAGTATTTTGCTTATTATTTTGTTTGTTGTCTGTGTTTTCAAACCCTAAATCTTTGAGAGAGCCTAAGGCTTTGCATACTATCATATATCCAGTATTCAAGACTTCAATATTCACTAAATGATTAAAACTAAAAAATGATAAATAATAATAAAACCCAAAATTAACAGGCCTTTGGGGAAAAAGACCCACAAAAATAAAGTGGCATTAGTGTTTATTAATATTAAAGCAGTCTGACAATAATAAGAGACATAAAAGTGATTATTTCTTTTGTCCAATATCACAAGAATATAACTTAAAAAATGTTATTTAAAATATATATTAGTAATTTAAAAAGGTTAAAAAAATGGGAAACTACCCACAACGATAATTGCCTTGTAAACCTCCCTGGTTCTCATTTTCTGTTTCCAACCTAGGTTATCCCATATGTCCTTTCTATGGCAGAATCCAAGAAGGTAAGCATTATCACTGGGGAAAACAAAAACCAAGTTGGGCAAAATACTACTGTCATAATATTCTTTCTTTATTTTTGGTGACTCAGGGCCTAGGACATGCTAAACACACACTCTACCACTGAGCTATACTCCCAACCACTTACCAGGATTTCTAAATTTACCAGTCTCAAGTGGGAAATCATTATTTCCCTAAACACCTGCTGTTTTTCTGCAGAAGTTGTTCTCTTACCTTCTCCAGATGCTACTGCAACACTCACCATTCTCCTTTTACCAAAGAAGTCACCATCTATTAGGGCATTTAAGCCAGAAAATCTGAGTCATTCATAACCAGTTTATCACCAAGTCCTATTATTTTGGTCTCAGACATATGTCATGAATCCATCACCTTTTTTCTACCTTCACTGTCACCACAATAAAAGCTACAATATGTCATTCCATTTTCTTTTTAGAACTTTGGGTTGAATACAGGGGCCTTTTACCACTGAGCTATTTCCTAGCCCTTTTTATTTTAGATTTTGAGAGAGGTCTCACTAAGTTACTGAAGCAGGCCTTGAACTTGTGAGCCTCTTAACTCAGTCTCCCAAGTTGCTGATACAGTAGTATTCCATTATAGGCATGTACTACCTTGTTCGGCTTAGTTTTTCCATTTTCATTCTTGCCATTCTCTGATCCATTCTCCACACAGCAGAGTGATCTGTTTTTTTTTTTTTTAAAGGATAAAATGGATTTATACACATAAATTCCCTCTACCCCTCTACCCCTTTTTAATTATAATCCTTCTACCTCTTTTTAATTATAATCCTCCTAGTAACTGACAACACATTAAATATTTGATGTGTATGAATCCTTCCACTATTTTCTCTGTTATTATATAGAAATGTATTCATGTGGTTTTGATAATTGTTATATGGATAAGTCTATATGAAATTATGCACATACACATTAAAACATAAAATATGTAAGAAATTGAGGCACTGGTCTGAGACGATAGTAACTCTTACTGATTAGTTGGTGACCTAAGAACTGTCACTTCTCTAATGTCAGTCTCCAACAATGAATGATTTTCAAGATAGGAATGGCAATGCCCCCTAGTGTTGGATACTCTGGGAGGTACTGTTGACCTTTAGAATACAGAAACCAAGTAGCTAGGATTCTTGCAAAATTTGGTCCTGTTCCTCAGGAAGGAAACTATTTTGTGTCTCACATGACTATTAAATGTTCCCCGATAGGTGAAAAATAGTTCGTAATTATCTGTACCTAAAATATATAACTTAATTTACATATGAACACAAAGTTGTTTTTGTTTTTAATTTTAACAGAAAATATTTTAGGAATGCAACTATAGTACAGTGAGGACAGATTAGTGTTATTCCACAAAGGCAGCCAAAACATCATACTGTGTCAAGTTAATAATATAGCTTTCACATTCATGGGGACTTTATTAATAAATGCTAGCACATGATAAATTCATTATATTTTCTAGAATAGTCATGCTTGACACTTATGTTAAAACATAACTTTATTATAAATTCTTTTCTTTGTACTTCAAAGAGTACAATTTTGATTTAAAACAAAATAATAAATGTAAATAGTTTATATTACCTATGAATTTCACTTCAGGCTCATCAAGGGGACATTATGAAAATATTTACTTAAAAAAAGAGGTATTAGTCAGGCATGGTGGGGCACACCTGTAATTCCAGGGACTTGGGAACATAAGGCAGGAGGATCACATATTCAAGGCCAGCCTCAGCAACTTAGTAAGACCTTGTCTTAAAAAAAGGGGGGGAGGCTGATGTAGCTCAGAGATAAAGAGCCCCTGGATTCAATCTCTGATACTAATTTATTAAATAATAATAAAATAAAATAGAGGTATCAGTTATCAGCAGATTAGGCGATGCTTAAGATCCCTTCCAGTTCTTATGTTAAACAATTCTTACTGGTTGAATCTTTAATAATGGAAATATTCTTTTTTTTTCTTTTTACTATTTTGTTTAGCCACTATAAACTAGTTATATGTATATACATATGTATGTATATATAAGCACATCAAAAAATACAGGTCACCTGTACTGAACATTTAGGCATTTAGTTACCTAAAGGTGAATCCAAATGATTTCCCAAGTTTCCTTGCCAGATGACCATTTCATGGCTCTATAATTTCAAAATTATGGTAAAATGCATATTATTCCTATATTTTCACCAGATATCTCTAGATTTGATGAAGAAGCTGAAACACAGAAAACTTTTTTTTTTAAGAACAAAATGAGAGCTTCTTATTATGAGATTAGATTCATGGATTTAAAATTGCAACCTCTCCATATTCCTCTCTTCCCGGTTTAAATTTTTTTCCTTAGAATATGCAATTTTAATAGTGTAATTTTAAAATCGATTGCCTCCCCTCCTCTCTCCCTAACCACAACACACACTAGAATATGGACAGGGAATTTTGTGATTTTGCTTACCGCTGTACTGGCAACGTAGTGCTGGGCACCCAGGAGGAGGTAAATGAGTATGGGTGAACACACGCAATAAGTAAAACCGACTGCTTCGAGCGCCACTTTCACCAGAATTCTAGGAGGCAACCGAAAGGGACCAATAAATTGACTAATTTTTGTGATTGAGGATTCCTGGGTACTGCATTCTTGTGCTCTTTGGGATGTGTTGAAGCGTGCGGAGTTTATGAATCTGACACACACGGCTGTGCAGGCAGGACTCCGAATTAATAATAATTTGCATCAGAGCCTGCAACTGTTATCAAATTCACATAACCAGAAACTCATGTTACTTTAAGTGCATGGGTCTTCCGTCCTCTTCGGCAATGTGCACACGACAATTTAGGGTATTTCTTCACGGGAGGTTTTACGGTTAAGAATGGGATCAAGGTTGATGGTTCCAGAAAGCGCAAACTGGTTAACCGAGAAACGAATTAACGCTCACTTTTCTCAGTAAGATGCCAAGCCAGAATCAGACTCTCGCTCTAGATCAAATCCCGCGCTCTTCTTACCCCCAAACTGCCTCCATCTCCACCCCGCCCCCTTTAGATACCTATCTGTGGTGGGCGGGGCAGAGTCGTTCTCGGCTCCCCCAAATTGGTTATGTCTGCCCCGAGTTTTGGTTTCTCACATTTCAGCAAACACTGAGGAAACAAAAATACTACCGAAAACCACCGACCAAATGTCACTGAAGCCGCACACGCGGGAGAGAAGAAAGCAAAACACGAAGAAAGGCGCTGGTCCCGCAGCCACGTGAGGTGGGCGATTCCAGCTGCCCTCTCAAGTGAGGACTTCAACTCCCGGCTTGCCCCTGGGCGGTTATTCTCCCAGGACTACAACTCCCAGGGTGCTGCGGGCGCGGCCGCCGCAACCTCCCACTCGGCCGCCCGCCGCTGGTCCCGCCCCTCCCCCGCCCCTCCCGGTCGGATCGGCGTGCGCCTGCGCAACGGAGGCCGGAGGAGTCTTACCCTAATGTAAGATGGTGGCCCGTCTGGCTGTGGAACCCACCGAAAGCTGAGAGTCTCTCTCTCAGCCGTAAAGGTCGGACTCGCTGAAGCAATCAGGCTCGGTTCTGAAGAGTTTTTCCCCCGACACTCGTTCAGTGGTCTCTTGTGAGGACGCGGCAGCGCGTGGAGTCGGCTAAGGGAAAAGCGAGGCAAGGCAGGCGGGTGAGTCTATGCGGGGTTGGGCTTAGGGGAAACCCGGGGCTGACCGGCTACGAGAGAGCGGAGGCTTCGCTGGGACTGTGCAGGCCGCACCCCCCTTTCTCCCCACCCCCCGCCTCATCTTCACCCTCCTCCTCCTCGACCTTCCTCCTTCTCTTCCTCCCTCTCCCCTCTACGCCACAGGAAAAGGGAGCGGGGCAGGAGGCAGCGCGGCGGCCAGCGCCGACTCTCTTTCGAGAATTTCTTCTATTGGGGAGCCGAGGCGGCTTTTGGTTCTCAGCTTTCCCCCACATTTTTCTAGGACCAGGATTCTTAGGTCTCAGTCTTCCTTGTTTCCCCAGCTCCCTTTCCCCTCTCTGACGTCCTTTCCTGCTGGCCCCGGTCTCCCAAGACCAAAGCCATCACTTCCACGCTGACCCGTGTTGCTGCTGCTCGTTAAACCCACTGCTCATTGCCCACTCGTCCTGCTTCTTGTTTTTTGCTCCATTGCTACCGCTCTGGAGTTAGCCTTTGCCCCCCTCTGGTGCTTGCAGTCAGACCCCAGTCTCCTTGCCAGGCTGGAGCCTCTTCCTATTTGCAGTCTTTTCCTTTAGCCACATCTGTCATCTTAAAGCTTCCCCTAAGTATCTAGATTATGCTGCTGCTCCTCCTAACCCACCTGTTTCTCAGTCTTCTTGAGAATTCTCCTTTCCTCCCCTCTTTCCTATGCAGATTATTTCAACACACATTTCCAGAAAAAGGGATGCCCCGAGTTGGTCCTTGAAAAGTAAAGGAAGTTGGTAGGTGAATGAAGTGAGGTAGGATACTATTAAACGTTATGAGTAAAGATTTTTATTCACGCGACTCAGGAGCCTCGTTTTGCTTTCGGTGATCTATTTGTCGATTATTGGCTCTGTTGGGACTTGGCTGCTCCCTTTCCCTTTTTTCATTTTGGGCCTTCTCGCCTTACCAAGTGTTCTTCTGAATTGCCTCCTCTCAGGACACTTAATGGGTCTCCTGATTATAAATATTAGTCTAAGCATTTCAAAATATGATAAATCTGGCACACACTCACATTATATCTGTAAACTCCACAAGCAAATATAAATGATATTTTAATAATGTGTGTTACAGATCTCTTTTATCTTAAGACTCAATTATTGACTGAGTTATTATATTGGTGTTCAGCTGAATTGATGACATTTTGTTTATGGTTTAAATGGAAATTTCCTCCGGCTAACATCAGATTTACTTAGTATTTTTGGACTTAGGAAGTTTTCTTCTTTGATATTTTTAGGGTGGTAGCTATCTGAATAAATTGTCTTGCAAAAACTTTAGGTATATAGGCAAAAGAAAAACATATTTTGTTTTGGAAAACTTAAATCCCTTATATTTTTTCTATAGAAAAGAAGGGAGCTGGGAAAAGATATCACAAAGCTGTGCATACATGTATATTTAGTGGTACTGTCATTGTTATTTACAGTAAAAAGCAGAAACAGAAGCAAGAAGTGGCTTATGATATGCATGTTTTAGTAAAAGTAAAATTGAAATGTGACTAACGGCATAATGGGAAGAAAGAGCCTTTGCTATATAATAGAGCATTTTGAAATAAAGAATTACTAGAAAAGCAAACAAGATTATCTAGATCAGATACACACACATCAAGTTTGAACATCAACAAGACATTGTGTTTTTAATATATTTGTAAAAATCTTTAAAGTTATAATAACAATATTATGCAGTAATCTCTCATTGGCAAAAGTAACATCTTAAGTGTAAATTCAAATACACTTTAGTCACTTCTGCACATTACTAGATTATTATAATCATGTATTTTGCATGTGAAACTTGAGTATCATCTTACATTTGAAGTTATAGTCCTTGAGTGTGAAAAATAGTCTTTTTTTAACCAGTGTAAACTAAGGTTAGAAAAGCTGTTTATAGCTGGGTGCAGTGGAGCACACCTATAATCCTAGATACTTGGGGGGCTGAGGCAGCAGGATCACAAGTTCAAAGCGAGCCTAATTGACTAAAGCAATTTAGTCAGACCCTAGCTTACTTAGCAAGACCCTGTCTCAAAATAAAAAATAAAAATGGCTAGGCAGTCCTCATACCAACTGTTTATAAAACTTATTTCCTTTCAGCCACTTAAGTCCCTGTTTGAAGGAACTAAATAAATCCTTACTTTCTGAGAATTGGAAGCAATTTATATAGCAATCCCTGTCCTAAGTTATAACTTGAAGTTTTGAAAAAAGTGTTGCTTCCATTTAATTCATCAGGAGCAGCAAATTTAATAACTACTCTTCGACTCCAGGTAAAAAATATACGTTGTTGGAAATGCTTGCCACTTTGAACAGTTCTAACATAGGTCTAGAAACCCTTGGCAGTTATACTTGGCTGAATCCTAAGCAATGTGTTCTAAGGAGAGGACTGTTTGTCTGACAGAAGGGGATGAATGATTTTAATACATGTTTTTAAATATTTTCATAAGTAATTTTTCCTTTTCCATACTTTTTGCCCATAGACATCAAATTTTTAGTTTCAGCCCTCTGAAGTCAAAATGAATTTATTAGGGATCTTTAATATGTCTAAAGAAGATAAAGTGACACTTTGATAGGAAGTAAGAAGCTGAAGCTTCTAAATATTTTTTTATGGTTTAAGATTTTAGTTGTAACATCAACATTGTAGCTTCATACTTTTGTGATTTCTTTTGATAATTTGGAATACTTTATGTCAGTTCAGTAGTTGAATTCTTCAAATGAATAGATTACTTGTAAAGGTTTTAAACATGAATTGCTTAAAGTTGTCTTTCTATAAAATTTGTTTTTTGAAATTATATAAACAGATCTTTAATTCTAGGATGAGACAGTTAAATGGCAAAATACAAGAAAATAAAATGATTTTGTAATGCTCTTCATCTTCAGTTTAAATTGGAGTACTAGCAATAGTTCATAATTCATTACTTTGTAAAAGAAAGAAGGAGTCGCTTAATGATGAACTACTAGCATTAAGAGCGTTTTATTTCATTAATTTATTTTTGTGATGCTGGGGATGGAGGCTGGGGCCTTGCACATACTAGGCAAGTGCTCTCAGGGGAGTATTATTTTTAAAATGACTTTATATGTCTTAAAAGAATGAAAACTAACTTCTCAGTTTAAGCAGTTTGGTTTTAAGAGTCTTCCCTTTCTACTCCTCCTTATTCCCAATTTTAAAATGAAGCTGTAATCTTCATTTTAATGAATTATTTTATGTGACTGCAGAGAATTCTTGATTAATCTATTTATACTCAGTCTTTTTGTTTTTATTGTCTATATAATTGGGAGAGAAAGTTTTAAATGGAAAACTTCAGCCTCTGCTGAAAATTGAGTTGGTTCTTTGTCAGTACCTATAATTCTGTGTTGACTTCTAGTGAAAGAAGTTACATTCAGCTCATTTGGTTCTGAAGAAAACAGTAGGGAACTAGGTTATAGAGGATTTTGCTGTTCTAGAAACAGTATAACTAGAATGTACTACATACTTTTCTCAAAGGATTTCTTAATCTAAATGGAACTTGTAAATGGTTTTCATCCCACTGGAATAGCAGGTATTTGATAAAACGTGTTAACACATTCTGACATTTTACAAATTTCATGTTATCTCAGTTATTAGGAAAAATCTACATATATCAATTCTTGAACAGAAAGTAGCAATATCCCTGATAATTTCAAGGTTTCATATTTTTTTCCCCTCAAAAGTTGAGAGTACACAAATAATAAAGATAGCATAATTTACTGTTATTTTTGTAATGCAAGAAAAGGAGATAGGTGGGACTTTTTAATCAGATATAATATTATTCTAAAAGTATTCATCAAAATTATTTTTTATCTTGTTTTTTGGACTTCTTTACTGGAAAAGATTGATAAAATTCAAAATTTTCAAATGTAATATAATCTAGTGGGTTTTTTCCACACATGTTTATGATATGATTCTTTATTATTTAATCAGAAAGTTGATTATGGAAAGTTCAACACTCTTTTGGCCATGTGTATTTTATTTTATTTGCTGCTGGAAATCAAACCCAGGACCTTGTGCTTGCTCCACCTTGAGCTTGGTGGAGGTTACTTCTGAGCTCTTACCTTTGCTACATTCTGAGTCCCTCTTAAATTTTAGTAACATGTTTTGCTTTTTTTATCAGCAGAGGAAAACCTGACTTAAAGGTAGTACAAATATAAGGCAGTATGAGTATGACTTTATTTTACTTCTATGAAGTTTGTTTGTTTTGTAGTACTAGGGATTGAACCCTGGGGCACTTTACTACTGAGCCCAGTCTTTTTTTTTGTTGTTTTGATACAGGGTCTTGCTGAATTACTTAGGCTGGCCTTGAACTTGGGATCCTCCTGCCTCAGCCTCCCAGTCCCTGGGATTACTGGCATTAGCCAGTGCATCCGGCAGATATTGATTGCATTTTGAATAGTAGACTGCAGTATCAAATGGGGTGGAGCATTCCTTACCAGCAACAAACAGATACATTGTCATTAAAACAAATATCTGGAATTTCTTAAGCATGTTTTTCAGTCCTTGGAATACCAAGAAAGTCATTTTCAGATAATTTAAGAAGCTATATAATTCCCTGTTAGGGCATCAGGTGTCTTCAGATTGTGAATCTCCTGAAATAACATTGGCTGATTTGGGTTATTGAACAATTTTTTTCTCCTTTTTAAAACTTAAAATAAATTTCCTGCCAGGCATTGTAGTGCCCATCTGCAATCCTAGCAATTTGGGTTGATGACAAGGAGGATTGAAAGTTGGAGACCAGCCTCAGTAATTTATCACGACCCTGTCTCAAAAAATAAAAGAAGTTGGGGATGTATCTCAGGGGTAAAGTGCCTTGGGTTCAATCCCCAGAACTACAAAAAATACAAAATTTTTGCTTATGATTTTTTTGCATTGTTGTTTATTTTCAGTTATTATTTGGGAGGACTATTTTGTGGATGCTGAAATTGAATGAAAATTTGTAATGTAGACAGTATTGCTTTGCTAATGAG